TCCCAGCGTCACTGTATATGTATGCACGCATCACACAAAGTGCGTCAAATACATACACTCTCATATCTTTCATGGATTCATTCGCTAAATGTTTATTAAACGTCTATAATACATTAAGACACCTTGGCCAAGGTGAAGGAGAATACAAAAGAATGAAGTACAGATCCTGCTTTCAAAAAGCAAAAGCCCGGGGCGCCTGGGGGGCTCAGTCGGTTAAGCGTCTAACTTCAGCTCAGGTCATGCTCTCTCAGTTTGTGGGTTCGACCCCGTGTCGGGCTCTGTGCTGGCAGCTCAGAGCCTGGAGCTGCTTCCGATTCTTTGTTTCCCCTTCTCTCTGACCCTCCCCTGCTCTTGCTCTGTCTCCCTCTGTTTCTCAATAGTAAATAAATGTTAAAAAATTTTTAATAAAAAAACCGAAAAGCAAAAGCGAACAGGAGGAAGAGAGATGTACGCCAACGGGCAGCGGGAAGTGAGGCACTTGGGAAATTTGAACAGAGAGTCCACCTTCGGTCAGGAAGGGACACCAGGAATGACTTCATGGCAGAGAGTGTCTGTGCTGAGCCCCGAAGGTGGCACGATGGAGAGTTGGGATGAAAAACCTGCATAGAAAAGGGCTTGGACTTTTCCCAAGTGTCCGCGTAGAGCGTAAAACGGGAAGGAGTGGTGAACAATTTTTAATTTCACTTTAACATCAGAACTTTTTCGGCAAATGGATATTGAGCTGGCTGTGCCCCCGAAGCGTTTCTGCGGTGGATGGAAGTGGAGGCCTAGACTGGCCTTTGTGCAAGTCTCACAAATCCCCAACGTAAGCGTCTCATCTCATCATAGTGTTATTTAAAAATACGAAACATGAACATAAACTTGGATGATCATGTGGCTACACTAAAATTGCAAATAATTCACAAACACAATCACAAAGCATGTAAGTCAGATTAACAGCTTTAATTGAGTGTCATAGCTGATGTTGTTTTGCTGAAACAAAATCACTGTTCACGTGAGAACATGGTACAGCTCGCCGGGGCCTGGCGCATCCTGGCCGCTGCCGTGAGAAGTTCTCCCGCTGCCACTCTCTTCCAACTGCTCAGTATCTTTATTTGAACAGGGCGAGGCACAGGGTCCCTTGACGTTAGCCTTCGTTTACTGTGAATGAGTCATTCCTAGATTCAGTCCACCTTTGTGTTTTAATTAGCCTGAAAATTTCCAAGTCTCCTCTGTGCCTCCATCAGTCGGGATCTCTGTAGGAGGTAGAGCTCACACTCAACCTAGGTAATCTGAGGAGGATTTGTTTCAAGGAGGCTATTTAAAGGTGTGGGCGGGGTGCATGGGTACATGGGGGGGGGTTGGGTAAAGGGATTTCAATCCGGGGACGGGGACAGGTGACCAGAACAGAAGGAGGGAGTCAAGTAGAGAAGTCGCCCTGAGAGGAGATGTGGCCTTTGGTCTCAGGGCACAGATGCCCAGGGACAAGCTTGAGGGGAGAGAGCTAGCAGTTACCCACCGCTGTCTTTTTCCTCTTCTGCCACGGCTCCCCATTGGCTGAACCAAACCAGACACTCAAGAGACTTAAGGGAGCTTCTTGATACAGTCCTGTGCAGGTCAAGTTCCGCAGGACAAGGCGCAGGCGATGGGAGCTAGGGAGGGAGAAGGGCGACTGGAAGATACCTGATACCATGACACGGATGTTGGCCCGAATATTGTGTAATGACACTCAATTTTAGACGAGATCGGGCGCGTTCAGTGTGGTATGGCTGTAGACGTGACACTCAATTTTAAAGCGACCATCAGACGATTTAGGAAATATCAGAGGCGGAGCACTTGGGTGGCTCAGTCAGATAAGCAGCCGACTCTTGCTTTTGGCTCAGGTGATGATCTCACAGTTGAGTTCCAGCCCCACGTCAGGCTCTGTACTGAGCATGGAGCCTCCCTCTGTCCCTCCCCTGCTTGCGCACATGTGCTTTCTTTCTCAAGAAAGAAAGGGAAAGAGGGGCGCCTGGGTGGTTCAGTCGGTTAAGCGCCTGACTTCAGCTCAGGTCATGATCTCACAGTCCATTAGTTCGAGCCCCGCATCAGGCTCCGTGCTGACAGCTCAGATCCCAGAGCCTGTTTCGGATTCTGTGTGTGTCTCTTTCTCTGCCCCTCCCCCTCTCGTACTCTGTCTCTGTCTCAAAAATAAAATAAAACATTTTTTAAAAAGGGAAAGAGAGAGAGGAGAGAAGGAAGGGAGGAAGGAGGAAAAAGAGTGTTGAATTGGTTTTCAAAACAAAAATTGTAAAATTTTCACAGAGCTTTTTCAGACTCCCAAGAACATGCCCATATTCCTGTAGGAGCTCAAAGACCTTCCTCAAAGAGCCCAAAGACCACATGCATCAAAGCTCCAAGTTTGATCTTTGTAACTTATAAGATTCTTGGAGTGTCCGAGAATGTAAGTTCGGTGGGAATAAGGAATAATGTCTGCGTTATTCCTCCTCATATATTCACTATGTTTCACTACCTTTCAGGCAAAGTCCAAGTTCCTCTAATTTTCTCAAAGCCCTGTAGGATCTGACCACTGCTTACCCTTCTTCTTTCATTCCCCCCAAAAGGCTAACTCTTTTCCTTCAAATACACCCCTTCCTCTACCTGAACACTTCCCTGCCTCCACTCCCACCCTGGCCAACCCAACTCTTCACGCCATGGACCTCCTCACACTCTAGGTCTTGGCTTAAATGTCATCTCTTCATGAAGGCCTGCCTCAGCCACCCTTTCCCTATGGTCCCCCATTGTTTGTCTCTTTCGCTGCTCCCCATTCACTTCCTGGGTGCCCCAAGAATACACGAGGTAGAGAATGAGAGGGATAATAGATGGCGCCCAGGACTAGACATTGTGGGGGAAGAGGATGGAGAACACACAACATTAAATAGGAGAATATATATAGTTTAAAACACACGGTAAGTTTTGCAGGTCAAAGAAGGAAGAAGGAGAAATCCTCGCAGGCTGAGTATTCGGGGAGACTTCAAGGGATATTGGGACTGGAATCTGAAACGCAGTCAGATTTTAATGGAAGGGCAAAGGGGGAGGGGACACCCTAGGGTTGAGGACACGGTGGACACATGGGGAGGTTAGACTGGGCGGGGCCTGTGTTGAGAAGGAGGTGATGAAGGGGGCTGGTTGGGAGGATTTGTTGGAGAAAAGTGAGAGAATCGGGTCTGACCAGTAGGTGGTTGAAAGACTTGAGATTTCCATGTCGGTGTTAATATATTAGAGATCGAAACATAGATGGGATGAATTAGGTGTCCTTCATTCACAAATTTCCTACTTCATAAGCAGCCATGCCCTTGGTAATGCAAGGACAAGTGGGAGGGGTAGATACAGGCACGGGCTCCTTCAGTCATTCAGTACATTTATTAAGCACCTACTGCTTGCTAGGCAGTCCCAGACCCTGCTGCCCAAGATGAACTTACACCTTGTTGGGAGACACAGAGAATACTCTAACAAAGAAGTGAGACAATAACAGGGAGTGTTAAGTGCCTGTCAGAAAAGTCCAACAGGGTGATGGATAGAGTAAGTGGGCTGAGCAGTCACAGAGGACTTCATGGAGGAGATGGCATGCCTGCCTGATTCAGGAGGAGGTGCATTTCAGGCTAAGAGAGAATAGCTAAGACAAGGCTGCCTTTGCAGGGATCGGAAGTCTGTCTTGATGCCCCTCTTCTCCTGCATCTTGACCCACGAGCTTGCTTGAATCTCTGTGTGTCAACCTCATGGTTCAATCGCATCCTGTGGTTCCAGGCTAGTTTCTTTGATTTTCTCTGCCACCCTTGGCTGCTCTGCTCTTCTGCTGCCTTAAGCTCTGTCGGCCACCCTCCTCCTTCCACACCTGCCTTCACGCTGGCCAGCCTTGTTCTTGTCTCGGGGTTCCGTTTGCTAGTCACGCACCCTACCACAGGGTCCTGCCACAGTGAGACAAATACGTGTAGGGTGCACAACATCGATTTGGTCCATTTTGGTTTTGTTTTGTTTTGTTTTGTTTTTTAATGTTTTATTTATTTCTAGGAGAGAGAGAGAGAGACAGTGTGAGCAGGGGAGGGTCAGAGAGAGAGGGAGTCACAGACTGAAACAGGCTCCAGGCTCCGAGCTGGCAGTCAGCACAGAGCCCGACGCGGGGCTCGAACCCACGAACCGCGAGATCATGACCTAAGCGAAAGTCGGACGCTTGACCGACTAAGCCACCCAGGCGCCCCTGATTTGGTCCATTTTGAATGATGCTGTCAGGCTGTGATTCATCCCTTACTGCCGTTCACCAGTGATTGCTTGATCTTCCATAATCACCCATCTGCGCGCAAGACTTCCCACCCCTCCTCCTTTGTAATCACGGGAAGTCTCTCCTGCCCACACACTGCTCTAAGGGCAGACCCTCTCTGACTGAACTAGAAGCAGATCCTTTGTTTTCTAAGTTGCCCTTCAAATGTGTACTTTATGGGTGGAGAAAACACAAAAAGAAAGCCTGAACCAGGGCAATGTCAGAGGCGAGGTGTCCAAGGACATTGGAGGTAGAATTGGCAGGCTCCGTCGTTGGGGTGGAGGCTGGCGTTGTTGGGGGAGTGAGGCCGAGGTTTTGGTTTGAGGGGCTCTGTGGATGGGTGATGATGGCCCCCGAGGAACAAGCAAGGGAAGCGGGACCGCACCAGATGGTTGGGGGCACAGTGGAGGGACCCGAGCCCCAGGTCCCTTTCTGCTCACGCAAGTCCAAGCAAGAGAACCTTTCACGTAATCTGCCAAGAAGACTGTGTAGTCCATGGACTTGACTTTCCTGCTCTAGGATATGCAGATGGTATTGACAGTCACCTGAGACTCGTAAAAAGATCAGATCCCTTTGACGAATGCCATTCAGTTACCATATTTGGGTTTAAAACACCCTTCTCCCCTCTCCGCCCCCCCCCCCCAAATGTTAATGCCCCAGGGCGGAAAGAGGAAGCTGCCTGGGCAAGGAGGAGAGTTCTGAGTTGCCATTTCTCCCACTGCAGGGTGTGGAGCGCTGGGGAGGAGCCAGGCAGCTGTGTGGACCCCCGAGCCCCGCAGGAAATGGGTTTCCTCCAGCCAGAGAGGAAGAGCACTTCCCCCAGCACACCTCGGCTCACACCCGTGCGTGTCCTGTTGCCTCAAGCTGTCTACGTTTCAAGGCACCGACAATGCACATGACGCACCCTGACCCTCACGGATGTCGCTAAGAGCCACTTGCCTCCTTAAGCTGCAGAGAGTTTAGGGGACATCAGATAAAGGAAGACAACATCCCATTACAAGGTGGACTTTGCCTGGAGACCCCCAGTGCCCATGAAAGGAGCTGTCCAAGGGGCGGCAGGGACAGAAGCTTCCAGGTAGGTGTCTGAATCCCTTTGGAAACGTTGGCTGAGACAAACTGAACATGCCCTCGAGAGGTTTCATACTCGGGTGTGAAACCCTCGTGGACACGTTTAAGGAAAATGAAAACCTAATTCTACCTGTGATTCCCTCGCCAGCCCCTCTCCCCTTTACAAGGAAATTACTGTGTTCTGATGGGATTTTTGTTTTAATGGTGAGACAAAACTGCAGTCCTCATTTTCCAGGGACCCCTGTGGACCTTGAAACGAGGTGTCTCAGGGGACGGTAGAGTCCCAATGGGTTCTTCATGTTGGAATTTTCTGCTTACTTCTGCCGACCCATTTTTAATTAAAAATAACTTTTTTTTTGCCTATTACTTCCTTCTATGATTAGATTTTTATGTGTTCAACTTAGAAAGAAGCGTAAATTCAAGAGACACCAAGAGAATGAAAATCGCCATTACTTAAGAGATAATCGTTATTTACAGCGTGGGGTGTATTTTTACTCTCACTCCTCACTGCAGAGATAAACACTTGTTCGATCTACCGAAAAGGAGAAAATAGTGGTTTATTCTTATATTGAAACCTAGGGTGTTTTCCCTCCCACTTGCGTCACATATAGATTGCTGTGTATTAAAAATTCTTCTGCACATTTTTCTATCGGTTGCCTGGTGTCCTGATCCATGAATGTGTCTGCCTCATTTAATCCACCTCCTAGGGTTGAAAATTAGTATTTTTTTCTAACTTTTCTATGCCACAGTGATTCCACCATAACCACTCGGAATATATTTGTCACTAGACCTTTGTATACATTCTTCTTTTTTTTTAAGTGTATTTATTTGTTATTTTGAGAGAGAGAGAGAGAGAAAGTGCAGGAGGGGCAGAGAGAGAATCCCAAGCAGGCTCCACACTGTCAGCACAGAGCCTGGTGTGGGGCTCGAACCCACAGAACTGCAAGACCATGACCTGAGCCAAAACCAAGAGTTGGCCACTTACCCAACTGAGCCCCTCTTTGTGTACATTCTTATTTATTTCTTCAGGATAATTTCTTACAAAAGAGCCCTTCTGAATCAAAAGACATGCACATTTGGGGGCACCTGACACCCACCTTTCTCTTCAGAAAGGCTGCAAAACACCAGCAGCACAAACACGTGCTTGTTTCTCTGTGACTTCACAGACACCAGCTGTTTTAGCTTGAAGCTTCTGGACAGATAGCACGTCAGTGCCTCTCTCTTCGCACCCTCGCTGCTGCTGGGCCATCTGTTTCCTCCCCACCAGTCTCTCTTCTTCTGCCACATCACCGTTCACAAGAGGCAGCACCGTGGGGCGGTCAGGGCCCGGCCGGGCTCCACCTCTGTCGCACTCAGCAGCTGTTTGATCTTGAACAAGGAACTGCACCTCAGTTTCTGTGTCTGTAAAATGGGACAGCATGGAACCCAGAGAGTCACTGTAAGAATTCAATGAGTTTAATGCCAGTCACCCCAGCTCATGTTAAGCGCTCCGTTAGCTATTGTTCGCCCATTAAATAAATAGATGTGTAAGAGCTCTTTATTAAGGATAATATATGAGGGGCACCTGGGTGGCTTGGTTGGTCAAGCGTCAGACTGTTGATTTCGGCTCAGGTCATCATCTCGCGGTTTATGAGTTCAAGCTCCACATTGGTGCTGTCAGTGCAGAGCCTGCTTGGGATTCTCTCTCTCCCTGTCTCTCTGCCCCTCCTCTGCTCTCTCTTCTCTCTGTTTCTCTCTCATAATAAATGAATAAACTTAAAAAACAAAAAAAAAGAATATACCTTTGGGGTGCCCGGCTGGCTCAATCAGTGGAGCACATGGTTCTCAGGATCATGAGTTCAAGCTCCACATCAGGCATGGAGCCCACTTAAAATACAAAATAATAATATACCTTTATCATATACTTTGCAAATATTTTTTCCTTGTCTTCCTTTTTTTTTTTAAGAATTTTTCTTAACAAAGTCTTTATTTGAGAGGCTTAACAGGAAGAGGGAAGAAGGTCTTTAAAATGACACCTTTTTATTCAAATGTTATCACTGTTAGTTTAATATATTTTTTAAATGTTGTACTTATTTCTGAGAGAGATAGAGAGATAGAGTGAGCAGGGGAGGGTCAGAGAGAGGGAGACACAGAATCCGAAGCAGCTCCAGGCTCTGAGCTGTCCGCACAGAGCCCCACACGGGGTTCGAACCCACGAACCGCGAGATCATGACCTGAGCCGAAGTCGGACGCTCAACTGACTGAGCCCCCCAGGCGCCCCATAATATTTGTGTCTCCTAAAGGATTTGGGCAGGAGAATTACTCCAAGATCTGGAATATTTCCCTAGTTGGGGGTGGGACCAATGCCCCTGGCCGTTCGCACACTCAGCACAGCCCTCACTCGTTTCCTGTGACGTTCCTTCATCTGAGCAGAGGACACTTACAGGGACTAGTATCTGTCTTCAACTACTGCAAAGGCAGTGGTGTAGAAGGAAAGAGGAAGTGGACTCTCGACGCAGGGGTTCGGGGCCACCCCCCCAACCCCACACAGTTGAAAATCCATGTACCACTTCTGATGCCCCCAAAACAGAACTACGCACAGTCTACTGTTGACCGAAAGCCTCACCAATAACATAATGCATAAATACATAGCATATCTGCTGTAGCATATACTGTCTTCTTACTAGAAAGTAAGCTAGAGGAAAAAATGGTTTTTAAGGAAATCCTGAGGAAGAGAAAATACAGTTATAGTACTGGACTGTATTTACAAAGAAAAAAATCTGCATATAAGTGGACCCATGCAGTTCAAATATGTTGTTAATGGTCAATTGTAGTTGCTTCTGCCATTCCAAAGGGTAAATGTTACCAGGATGTAAGTTTAGGCCTAAGCTAAGATGGAACTTCTTCACCATCACTGGGCTGCCTGGGAAGCAGTGAGTCCTAGATAGATGCTTTCCAGTCCAGACTGAGCCCGAGCAGAGGTGAAAGCCTGGACTAGGTAAACGTGAGGTCTCCTCGTAATTTATGATTTATTTCCCCCCAAATTCAATCTGTGCACCAATATCCTAGCTCTTAAATGCCTGATCAGAAGCTGTATCAGCGCTCAGAGATCAGATCTCTGATCTCCCCCTTTCACCAGACCGCCAGACTCCCCACCAACCTCCCAGGGCATGGGGGTGCCCAAGAGATGTGGGGAGCATTGATTTTTCTTAGCCTTTTCTTCGTACCTGGCCACATTGACCCAAGGCTGGTCTCCCAAAGTCAGAGTGTTCCCCATTATTTCAAAGAGCTCCCTTCCTATCACTGTTGAAACTCGGCAATTTCAGTATTTGCCTGGGGAAAAAAATGTCCAGAAATAACAAGCCAAGTAATTTATTTGCAGGAATGTTCAGAAAGATTAACTGGGTTAGTTCCATTCCGCGTAGGTGTACGTGTTACATTCCATGTAGGTGTTGATAGAAATCCCAGACACTGGCTAGTGTTCTGTACGTATCTGGAATTAGGATGACTGAGGGTAAATGCGGAGTCACTCCTGTGAGTTCCACCCTGACTTTCAGGGCCTACACAATGGTAACTGTAGCTTGCTGTTTCTTCTATTTTCTGTAACCCCTAAAAATGGGGGCACTTAGCCAGCTCAGTTGGTGGAGCATGCGACTTTTTTTTTTTTTTTTAATGTATTGAGACAGAGAGACAAAGAGAAGCAGGGGAGGGGCGGAGAGAGAGAGGACACAGAATCTGAAGCAGGCTCCAGGCTCCGTGAGCTGTCAGCACAGAGCCCGATGCGGGGCTCGAACTCACGAACTGTGAGATCATGACCTGAGCTGAAGTGGGCACTTAACTGACTGAGCCCCCTAGGGGGCCCCTCAACTCTTGGTCTCAGGGTTGTGAGTTCGACCTCCACATCAGGTGTAGAGATTACTTAAAAATAAATAAATAAATAAATAAATCTTTAAAAATAAAAAAAAATAATAAGAAGAAGAAAGTAAAAAATAAAACCCCTAAGAATGGATACCAACTCAGGGAATGGATTGCCTTAAAATCAAGTCTGGGGAAGACCTATTATCCCTACTGCTTAAGAAATGGGGTGATTAGATTGGAAGCCATAGCGAGGCAGGTGATGAGGTGGTTGGCTGCAGAATTGGAAAAGAGGCCGTGAGGAGGCAATGGTGGAAAATCATTGACCCTAATGACCTTCCTACATAACAGTCACCTTGAGGTCCTGGCCAGGCAGCCCCTCCTCCCCTTCACATTCATATTGTCAAGGCCCTTCTGTAAATTTCTTTTTCCTTCATTTTAATCTGATCTTCTAACATGAACTTGTAGTTAGGAAGGGAGGAAGCAAACCACACCTCTCCCAGAGCTCGTTTGTCCTCAGGGGGTGTGGTACAAATGTAATTGTCATCCCCTTAACCACAACGAGCTCTCCAGCCCAGAGCCCCCAGCCCCCCAGGGCGGCCCTTCCTCTAGTAAACAAGAGGATACAAACCCAGAAACATTTCTTGACTAATCAGAAACACTCACAGAAAAGAATCTCTTGGAAAAGTCCACCCTCAGCCAGTGGCCTCCAGGCCGGGCCTGGGCTCCTCCTCTGCTGGCCTGTGTCACTCACACCCCCAGGCGGCCATCTTGCCAGTTGAGAATAATTAGCCTTTGATTAGTACTGGTTGTGCTTTCATCGGCTCCATTTCCAAATTCCTGTAATTTCCATTTCATCCAATTAGTATATTTTGGCCCACTCTCTTCCAGCAGACTGAGAACAGGGACGTCACCCACAGAAAAAAACAGCCTTATTTCTAGTAAATCAGGTGACATGGCCGTTTAGGGTTGAGCTCCAGCCACAAGTTTGCCAAGACCTTAAAACTTTAGTTCATCTAATATTCTAATTCTGTCCTGAAAGGAATGCCATCTCAAGAAAGAGATTACCTTAAATCGGATTTCTGGGAAGAATATTTCAATAGAGCTATCACATTCTCATTCGAGTTAAGGTGTTGAATGATATATGCATGGATAGCTTTCCATTTTACGAGCCCCCCCATATGCTTACACTATTGTTGGGGAGACAGAGGGACCTTCAGCACTTTATCAAAGTATGCACTGCACGACATGGGTCCTGGGAGCTCTTCCCCCGAAATAAGGCCCCCGGGACAAGAAGTTTTACAGTTAAGGAGCTTCAGCTTTGTTTAATCCAATATTTCCCAAACCTACTCAATGGCGGAAGCTTTGGTGAAGGCGGCACTTAGCCAGGTATAGAGCAGACACTCAGTACACGTCTGTCAAATGAATAACGGAATTTTCCAAAGAAGTATTCTGAGAAGTATTGCTTTAAACTAAAGGATTAGGTAGTATGGGAATATGAAGTTTAGAATTCAGGAGATAGATTTTTGGCTAGGTGGCCCTTACTCTGTGTACCCGTAACCACCCCTGCTTTGAGACAGGCCGGATTCCGTTAGCGTCAACTGTTTGAGGGACGAGATTGTGTCTTTTCATCCTTTTATCTACTCATAGCATGGAGCAAAGTGCTTGGTGTCTAGTAGGGTGCTTAATAAATGCTGGAAGGAATCAATAATTAATTAATGCTTC